AAGTCACATGTGCCCGTAATTTCACTAGTACCCTTAGTCTTCAAAAACTGAACACAGTAATGCTGACGTTACTGCTTGGCAGCAGAAATAGGTAAGGTGGCAGCACTACCCTTGACTGACTCTTTCACAAGGAGCTACTACCTACGTATGAGAGGGTTGGTTCCCTTGGGACCAGTTGTACCATTGATGGTGCACATGGCATTTTTTTAATAATATCTATCGACCGGCGAACGAACCATACGCTTTGTAGTAAGCGACATGTCCATCTATGACAGTTGCAGTGCCACTGCACCCGTCACTCGGAGATATAAGTTGGAAAGTCCAATATGCTTGTAATATCACCAGCACCCTTACCCTTCCAAACCGGTACGCAGTAATGCTCACATTACTGCTTGACGGCAGAAACTATGGCAAAGTACCTATATATATATATATATATACATTAAGGCACAAATATATTAAGCCTGCATCCCGGGATTGTCGTTAAATATTCATTGTGTTTTGTCTAAAATATTAAACAGTTAATAATACATAAATAGTAATTATATAAATAATAATGTATACAGTACACTAACAGTAGTTTCTATACAATTACTTACATTTTACAACAATTTTCATGAATATTAACTAAAAAATAACGGCAAGTCTCACGGTGGTTTTCTATTTAAAATTTTCATGAATTAAATAGTGTTTAAAATAACTGTAAAATAAACATCGTTCATACTTTCAAATGTTTTGGTTAAACTTGTTTCGCTCAAAAATCTAATTACCGAATGGGAATAGGCATGGAGAATCTTGGGAATTATGTGTTCATGCAATTTATAAAGATAAGATTTCTTTGTTATTGTTAAAAGGAAGTAACAAATTAGCGTACACTTAAATGCATGAAGTAGGACAATGCATTTATAACTATGCAATTGCATTATCTCTTTTTGTTCTAAAATCTATTCCGAAATACAACATTATATTTTAATGAAAAAAGGAAAATATTATCATTAAATCTATTTTTACATGGAATCCTGAATAAAGTATGCTAAATGACGCCATCACTTATTTGAGGAGGTTTGTAATAGAACACATAGATTATGATACTTCACAAAATCACAATACCAAATGTGGCATGGGCTTTTAAAACTCCAAGGTCTACACTCAGTATTACATACTTCAACAATTAGCAAAAAAAAATCTATAAGGTTGGCTATAAAACATCATTATTGTTTGGGGCCGTAGTTCAATTGATTTGTCTGTTTTTTTTTTTGTAGCAGTAATTAGAGTTTTGTTCCGCGTAACGCTGCAGGCGGGTGATATTCAAATGTGTTAATGCATTAATTACGAAGTAATTAAGAAACGAAACTTACGTTAGATTGAGACCTTTGAATTTGGGTGTGATGGGCTCTAGTGTTTCACGGCAATTTGATAAATTTAATCGTTTTGTTTGTAAAATAATTGTGACATATTGCACATTGCAATGATGATCAAACGTTTAATCACGAAGTTTTAAAAGAATGTGAAATAGGGTGCATGATATAATAGCAAATAGTACAAATGCCTGAAACATGTAAATTGGATTTAACTACTCACTTTCTGGCTTACGACGTAATGTCATGTTTACTTAGTTATCACATTTTATCAGCTGTACTTGAATTTCCTAAAACAATCTTAAGTATTTTGTCGATAAGTTAATGTAAAAATTGGTTGCGTTAAAATCCGGGCCACTATTTGTCTGTAATATTGTTTTTTTCTTTATGATTTACTTACCACTTTGCTCTACCTACTAAAAAATGTTATTAAATTAAACAAGCCTCACGAATGCACATACATATTGCAGTTGAAGTTTGGTCCGGAAGTTCCTAGTTTTATCAAAGCGTTGTCATTCTATTTGCCTCTTGGTTACTGGCATTGACCAATATTTGTAGTTCTATAGTCCACTTGTCAGTGCGATGGGCAGTGCCCACTTTATTTGCAATGAATCATAATCATTACTACGAAGTACACTGAATAATCAACTATTCGAATGAATGCTTAGATCATATAGGCATTTGCTTAATGTTCGTAAATCAAAGATAAATCCAGTCAATAATTTAGTTTGCAAAAGAATTAATTACTGCGGTATTCATCATCCAAGTTTCGAAATTCTTTACAACAATTGTGGCAGACATTGGAATTATGCATGCGCTATTATTACTTACCCAAACCGCATTGCGATAGGTACTTATCGGAATAGCAAAGTACTTTCTTTTTTTTACAATATCAAGTGACGGGACGAACAACTCGTGCGCCTGATGGCAAGCTACACGCCTGTCCATAACAGTTGCAGTGCCACTCAGCTCTTTAAATCGCATAGATCTGAGGCACACTGCCACTGCGCCCGTCATCCTGAGACGGAAGTGGACAAATCTCATGTGCCTGTAATTTCACCCAAAACTGCTTACATATAAATAGATTTATTTTCCCTATACCGCTATCCAGAAGGCGCGGTTAAGTTTTAGTAGTTTGAAAAGAGTTGAATACTTAAAATTAAAAGTATCGATTTTGTTCCAATTTGAGTCCATTTTTGATAAGAATATTTTTTATTTATTAATAAAAACTGATTGATAAGTCAAGAAAGACGGGGTCGACGACGGCTTGAGCTTTCACAGAAGCTGTCTATTTGTTGGCTGGCATTGATATATTATATGACTGTGCTCAATAAGTAGTATATATATATATATTGAAGATGGCGAGTAGGTAGATAGCTCAGTTGGAAACTTTTAGTTCTCTTAAGGCACAGATAGTTTATATAATAGTTAGGTGCAATAGGTGTACTGCACAAGGTGATTCCAGTCACGGCCAACAATTGCGGCAGGTGGGGCTTGGCTGCAGCCGCCAGTATTATCACATCCGTCCCACTCGGAGATGCAATGTCAGGGTCACAGTCATGCGTACATGGATCAATCATCATTATTGTAACGTATTGGACGTAGCCTCCCAAAACACGTGACTTTTATTAATAAAACAAAATTTTCTAAATTAAATTAATTGGAAGCAACTATGATAAAATATACTTAGGATTCTCGTGTTGCCTTTCTTCAGCTGCCTTTTCTCCTCATAGTATTGTATTGTTTACGTGATTAAGCCAAAAACTGCAATTATGTATAGATTTGTAGCAAATTCTAATTTTATTAATATATACCAACATGTAAATAGCTGATACGGGATTCTAGAAGCTAAATTACAAGTATTGTCGTACGTGCGTCATATTTTCTTTAGTATTAAAGAATAAAATGAACATAAAATATATTAACTTAGGGTTTCAAAAGCAAAAGACGACAATAGCACAATTAAAATAACTTAAAACTTAAATGAAGCCAATTGTCGTTTCATAGCCAATCTTGTCAACTGTGCTGATGCAGACATCGTGATACAAAGGAATTCTTCGACTCGCATCGCATCGTCTTATTACTAAGTCAAAGAGAAGATCTACAAAATATTGTTTTATAATGATGTTTATGCGATAAGTTATTATGCATTTGTTTGTGATACATTCATTTAAACAGTACATATTTTTGTATGACACGGCGCAATTCATCAACAATTCGATTACGTTATTGGGTAAATATAAAGAAGAAAAAAATAATACATATTAGCCCGTTCACGGACACTAACTAAATAGTACCGTACACGAAAATGTTATTACTTTTTTGTGCCATAGTATATAAAATGTACAATAAATATACAATATAAAACGTTCAATGTAGATTCAAAATCATTGGATTTTGTCAGTACGTTGTTGAAACTTCTCTATGGAAAAGCAGAAGGTGGCAACAACACAGAAAACACTTTCAAATAAAGCCCGTTATTGGTTTTTTGAGATTCATATAGTGAAACCCCTGTGCCCCTTCCTATCGTATTCTAATATTTAATTTCACTATCTATGAACGGGTTAGCTATCGCCTCTGTTATTTTCACTTAATATTATTTACAGAGCAACCTATTCAATGCAAAATAAATAGCAACCATTTATTTGTAAATTGACACGCCTCTGGTCACAATGTATCTAATTAGTAAAAGTGTTAAACGATTTTTTTTCCAACATCATAATTATAATGATTCATATATTGTCCATTGTTCGAAACGATTAATTAATCAACTATGTTTGAATAACAATTTTGAAAGTTATAACAAAGGTTGCTGCAACTAGCCACGTGAGCGGGCGACATTTGATTGCCTTGAATGACTCTACTCGAGTTCGAACCATATTGGTTTATTGCGCTATGAACTTTGAAAAGTCCAATATATATGTATAGACATAGTTCTATTTTTAACCGACTTCAAAAAAAGGAGGAGGTTCTCAATTCGACTGCATGTTTTTTTTATGTTACGCGATAACTCCGGCATTGTGGACCGAATTTGATGATTCTTTTTTGTTGGGAAGAGGGTACCTCAGTAGTGGTCCCATGTCCCAAATTTGAAGAAAATATTCCATCTCTAAGGGTGACAAACTAGGGCACGAATCCGGTTTCGCCTACTTTCCGGTAACCGATTTCAATAAAACTTGGCAAATAGGTGTAATTCCACGAACTTTCGAGTTCGGTTTTTTTAGTACTCTGTACTGAGATTATGTATTTTAATTTTGAAACTTGTGTGTTGGTGAAGTATGTGTATGTTGCGTAGTCTTCTTTAAAAAAGTACGATTCCTAATCACCGTACTTAGCGCAATCTAAAACACACAGGTTGTTTCCAAGGTATCGCTTAGTTGCTCATCCATGAGCGGATAATATAAATAAGAATGTGCCAGACAACCACACCAATTACGTGGTCTCAAATTAGGCAATTCCCTGCACTGTGAGTACCAGAGCAACGGAATTTAGGTACTCCGGGGCACTTCGCCGGAACAGAACCAAATTAGTAAAGTCCATTTCCATTTCGTAAGCAAGAACCGCAGACGTCTTGGTTACAAGTAATTATGTAAACTAAAAAAGATATACAAATAAAATAAAATTCTGTATTCTTCATTTCAGGTGACCCGATCTCATGCATCAACGATGGAGCTGTGCCGCCTCACGTGTTGAATACTTACTGCTGGATCACGTACACTTTCACGCTACCCTATGTTAACAATAAGGGCATATCACATCCAGGCCTTGGCAACGATTATGAGGAAGAGAAGCGTATCCATGCTTATTATCAGTGGGTGCCGTTTATGTTGTTCTTTCAGGTAAGATATTTGAAGGCCTTAATAATAGTAACGTGCTAGATAACCACACAAATTACCTGGTCTCCAACTAGGATATTATATTATATACAATATATATTTGTATAAAGCGCACACTTATAGCCCCGCACTAGGGAAAGCTTGTATCGCGGATGCCACGGACACGCACATAGACGACCACAAATCACACCCGAGAGAAATAATTGTAGTATACAAATACTTCTCCCGGCACGGGAATCGAACCCGGGACCTCTGCGTGCCAGTCCAACATGGTAACCGTTGCACGGCCACGGGGGCAGTTATATTAAGAATAAGAGTCGTCGTTCAGCTTTATTTATAATGCTACTCAAACAAGTAAGTTATCACTATCCTAGTAAATGTGGCAAAGGTGCAACTACGGGGTTGCGGTTGTTGTGATCACGACGACGTCAAATTAAAACTTTAAAATATGAATTTTAAAGATGTAACCTTTGACATTAAGTGAAGTGATACACTTACAGCTACTAGCCGTGATATGGAAGACAAATGAAAAATGAAATTATTGACTGTTAAATTTAGCCACGATTAACTTTTCGGTTCAAAATTATAAAAATGAGCAATTGATGTATTTTGACAGCTCTGCTATTGTAGCGATATTTGTGTAATTATTTTCGTCTATTTGCAATCACTATAATATAGATTACATACGAAAAAGGCATTGTAAGCAAAAGTGTTGATATTTAGAATATGATGATATGTCACAGTATTCAATAATGCAATGGTACTGGACAATTGAAGTTTGACTTTATAGTCTATTTATCTATCAACAGTGAATGACTTTGTATAATAGTCGATGAGATAAATGTTTCTGCCTCATGTAGTAAGCTAAGAAAATTCTTAAGGGCACATAAATCACGATTTACGTAAGTCCTTGATTACAGTTTTACCTTACGTATGCCGAGCGGACAAGTAATTTAACTCCCGTCTCTCGTCTGATTCACCTTTTAGTAACGACAAGATTTCGACTAATATAATTTAGTTAGCTTACTAGGACGACAACTTTACTTGACGAAGTACATGTAAAGTGAAAGTTTACGAATTTATAATAGCAATTTTAAAATTTAAGCGACTTCGAGTTTGTAGTAATTAATAGCAATACTATGTAAGCATTTTTTTTTTGTTTTTCAGGGACTCCTATTCTACATGCCGCATTGGATATGGAAGAACTGGGAGGAAGGAAAAGTCCGTATGATATCAGATGGTATACGAGGGACTGCTGCAACCATTGCTGACGACAAGAACAACCGTCAGGTTTGTATAACTTTACATGCATATGAATAGAACATATAACTTTATAATAAATAAGTAATAACTATTGATAAACAAGACTACCTATCAAGCAGTTGTTTCTACGTTATGTTTGTTTATAGAGCCTTAACAATATGCAATTGTTACAATGACCGATTGTTTATTATAGTTAGAATAAATAGCACCTTCTAGGTTTTGGCATTGTTCTTTCACTAACCATCTCACTAAGACATTGACTATCTCTAGAGGTTGACCCAATACTTATCAACTACCTTGTTGTACTGTTGTATTGGCTTTTATAAATTATTAACAAAGTGGTGATCTAATTCTTTGATGAACAGTGTTCCTGTCATGTCTCAACTGCGCGATTTCATGAGCTCAGCTAATTTGGCAAATATGATACCATAAGCGATCTAATTGATATCACGTTTACCAATTGCCTCTAATGAAACTTGATAGACGTCTTTAATGCGGACAATAAAACCTCGCAACTCTTATACTATAAGTACATGAATTATCTTCTCGTCATAACCAAATAATAGAAGCTGTGTTTTTTTTTGCAGAATCGACTTGTGCAGTATCTGTTAGATACTTTACACATGCACAACACATACTCCTTCGGCTACTTTTTCTGTGAGGTCCTGAATTTTATAAACGTTGTAAGTAATTTGTAACACTAAATTGAATTGTTAACATTATATTATCCACGTTGTAGCCACGCTGAGGCAACAGACACTAGTTCGTGTCCAGTTGGACCGAACTTCGGTTCAACAAAGAAAAATTCCTTCGGTCACCGAAGGAATTTTTCTTTGTGTTCGTTCCATCTTTGTATCAATAAAAGTATTCGTAATGTTATCCTTTAACAATAATAATGCACAATGATTAATTCAAATCATAGGTTCCCAAAATGGGCCCTACTGCCCCCCAGTGGACGCTAAAGAGTCCTTGAGGCGCTACCACATGCCACCACAGGTAGGGCAGATGGGCGGTGAGCCAAAATGTTTGGGAACCTATGATTTAAATGAATCAATATTGCAACAATTTTTCTCGCATATTTTTATAATTTACTTTTAAAAGCTGGAATATCTAAAAGCGTCTGTCTAGCTTGTATTTATTCTATATTAATTAATTAATTAACAAAGTCTGCGATATTCTCTAAATGGTCATCTGAAATGAACTTTCTATTTTTCAGGTTGGCAACATCTTTTTCCTCGATTTATTCCTCGGGGGCGCCTTCTTGACATACGGTACTGAAGTGGTTAAGTTTTCTAACATGAATCAGGAACAACGAACAGATCCGATGGTAAGTTGCCACTATCAGATTGTTACCTTAACAAGTTTTACACGTTGTGTAATTACATCTGTCACTCGGATTAATGAAAATGTTGCGAATACTTAATTTTTTATTAATTAACAAAATATATACCATATAATATAAATGTATACTGACGTTATTTAATATATGTTATAATATTATATATATTTATAATATTTATGTAAGTATCGGTACACGTTGAATTTATTTATAAGTTTATAACATTTCACCCACTTCCTATCATGCACGCTTCTTACTTTTATTCTCCCTGCTTTGGGTCGGTAGGAAAATATCTCTTTTAGAGATAAGTCCATCTTTGCTCACCTTTTATATGATTAATATTTCATTAGTTTTTGTTCGGTGCAATAAAGAATATTTAAAAAAGATTACCTATACTAAAAATCAGAATTCCATTTTCAGATCGAGGTATTTCCTAGAATTACCAAATGCACATTCCACAAGTTTGGTGCTTCCGGATCGATTCAGAAACACGACGCGCTTTGTGTTCTGGCTCTGAACATCCTCAACGAAAAGATCTTCATTTTCTTATGGTTCTGGTAAGTTTATCTAATCAATGAGAATACTAACATAAGAGAATAAAAATTGACATCATCAATCATCAAAAACACGATATCAGAAAATCCTAACGCTGATTACGCTATAAAAATTATTCTCATCATTGTTATGAACTAGTCTAAAGAATATTATGTACGAATAGTTTGTGATAATTTCAGGTTCATCATCTTATCTGTGGTGTCAGGAATTGCTTTATGGTACTCGGCCGCCGTGATTCTATTGCCGAGCACTCGTGAGACCATTCTCAAGCGGCGGTTTCGTTTTGGAACTCCCAACGGAGTTGAAGCTCTTGTCCGGAAGACTCAGGTGCGTTGCATTTTCTTGCCTAGGCAGATGTAAAACTATTCTAATCGAACTAATCTACTCATAAAAGATTGTCTATGCAGTATTTTTTTATAAAAATATTCCCACAAACAAGCAAACCATAGCAGTATGGACAATACAAGAAAATTTCACTAACGGATGTTTTTTTTTCAGGTGGGCGACTTCCTACTCCTTCACCTGCTAGGCCAAAACATGTCTCTCCGTGTTTTCGGTGAGGTTCTGGACGAGCTGTCTCGAAGATTGCATCTCGGTTCCAACCCACCATCAGCGCCATCTACTTTGGAAATGGGACCTCTATACCCCGACATCGACAAGTACTCCAAAGAGACTGAGACGTAAGCAGCTCGAATTAGGAAGCAATAAACGCTATAAAATTATATTTTAATGTCTCTATTACGTTTTTTGAGAAAGCTCCCCCTTAAACTTCCATCTTGATTTCTGTAGTAAAGGACAATTTGATAGCAGAAATCAAATTTTTCAAACAATGTAGTCGAGACGTTTAAGTAGGTTCCTTCGTATACTGGTCGGGCCGGGTTTACGATCATACGATGGCGCTAAGTGGCAGCTACAATCTACCAACTTCAAAGGGTCCATTACATTTGAGATCCGCAGAGACATTCTTGCCTTGACTGACGCGGTAGCTTAGATGATTACTTGTTAACGAATTATAAAATTCCAGTACGAGACTTTAACAACATGACATTCCTTCTTTTATAGTAGAAAAAGATGTTAGTATTACACAGTTTAAGGTAATATCTCAGCCACATTTTGCCGATGTCTGCGTGAGCTTTAAATTTAGGTCTCAATGAAAATTTTAGTGTAAAAATTTAATGCAACTATCATTAGTTGAAAGGTTTGTGAATAAAAATAGTTAATAATTGGGAATTAGTGACGTGAAATATAGTAAATAGGAATGTAATAGTGTATGATAATTTGTTATTTCTATCTATATTTTTGGTAAAGACTGTTCCGTAAGAATGAATCTCTTTTGGATCTTTTTGTCTGTACTGTAATGTGCCTAATCGCTATAGTTTGTGGAGTTCACAAATATAAATTTTAAAATATTTTAGATATAAGGGACCCGCACGGTGGGTCTGATTTTAAATGAATTCGCATTGGCTGAGTAAGTATTATGCGATTTGAAATTATTACCTTTTTAAATTCGTAGCAAACTTCCATTTTTTACTCTATTAATTATAGAATACAATTTATTTTAAAGACAATATTTTTAAAGTAGGTTTTAATATTATGACAATATAACGAGAAAAGACATATCACCCACACATGCATAGAACATTTTAAATTGTATTTCATTAGATCGTTAAGTTTTACTTTAATTTCTACGCTATTTCTTGATTCTCGAATATGCGTGATGTTGTATATTCGTTTTTTTATAAGTTAATATTGGTAGGTAGGAAAATAATACAAAACTAATTCTAAATATTCAAAAACAATGTACTTTTAGTACAGTGCGACTTCTTTCTCAGTTTACTATTAGTTATAGGATTTCGGTGCGTATTGAGGTGTTCGTAGAGAATATTTTTATACTCATATATAAATAATTTACTCGAATATTGTGCCATTGTAGCAAACTACCATTTCGGCTGTCATATCTCTGCCAGAATGCATTTTCTGTCTTCACGAAAAGGCAAAAACTATTCCAGTAAAGGACCAATACTTCCATTTTGTTTTGTAAACTACTGTATTTGTAGGATAAGGATTTTTATTTCAGTCATTTTAGCCATATTCATAACGATAAGACGTAGTTCGTGAATCATGTCTTTTTCAACTTGAATCTATTTTTTTTTCCTTTGACCATGACAACGTGGATGTAATACGTGTGTGGACATGGTAATAAAACAATTGTCGCTGTTTGTGCTAACTACACAACGACATGCAGTAACGCCTGTGACATTTAATATAAGTTACTAGAGTAAGTTGTATGTTGTTTTGAACTCGATTATCATTCCTACAATAGTTATAAGTGGCTAACAAATTACGTACAATTAGGAAGACTGCTATTGAGCCGACAATTTCAGATTATTTTTCTCTGTAATTTGGTAACATTTTCTTTGAATTAAACAATTTTAAAATGATAATCTAATGTTTTATTCATGCTCAGTACACAAAATATCTCGAACTAGAATACATCTGAATAACAGCCTGAGACAACACTAATCTACAAGAATAAAATTTTGAATATTAAAGCAATAATTCACTTATATCACTTTCAACAGTCTTTTTTTTAATTTACCTTGAGCTTTTCGGTGAATGAAAACGTCGTGATGAAACCTGCATGTCGAAAACTGTTCACAGCCTCGAAAAACGTGTGAAGTCCCCAATACACAGGGACCCTGCGTGGCGGACTATCGCCTAAACACTCACCTGAGATGAGATCCGTGCCCAGTAGTGGGAAGAAAAAAGTGGGTTGATGATGACGATAAGTTAAATAACAAGTGCATGTATGTTATAATATTCCTCCTAGCAGGTGCAAACGTACGCCTGTTTGTCTAACAGGCGCACTTGGTATGATTTGGTTGTTACAATTGTCTAGGTCATAAAAATTTATAATAAGAAACAATACTTTAGCCCCTAGCACTTCAAAATATTACTCAGTCTACGTATGTGCAGCATATAATGATAGCTAAAGTTATGAGCATTTGAAGTGAATGACCTATATATTAGTATTCCAACTTTATGGTAAAGTTCAAATAACCCTTGTAACTACAAATTATTTATTTGTAAACAAATATAACAAAGTTTACTAGAGCTGTGCAATGATAACAGTGCCCTATGGTAAAATGTTAAAGCATACACTAAGGTCGCCTTCAAATTAGAAGCTTATAGAAGCGTTGAAGTGGGGCGTCTGTGAAGCAACAACCGCGCCACTATTAATTTACATAAGTGCCACTGTCACGCACGAGCCACTTGAAGGCAGTCACAATTAGTGAAACAAATGTACACGCGGTTGCTGCGCCACTGCAGCGCTTCTAGCGTCCAATTTGAAGGCGCCCTAATTGATAATACCATTTTTTTTCATATATGTTTTCCATGACAAATATAATGTACATCAAACATAATAACACTTATATTTTTTACAATGTCGTTTTCCCATTGAAATTCAATTATTTAAACCAATTCATTTCGAAAATGCTTAAGCGCCAATCGTCGGTACGACGTCACAACTACGCGGCTAGCGATGAGAAAAAAATCGATACTAAACACTTATTTGAATTGGCGTGTTTTCAGTTATTGTACATATATGGTTCGGATAATATAATTAGGGAACACTGTTTATGGAAAACTAGATACGAAGGATATATTCACATTTAATAAATATTTAACAGTAAGTTGAAATAATGAGCTACAATATCTCTAAGGTCACGCATCCAAAGGTCATTAAAAAAATCTATACACAATGACATTCAGTGTTGCCAGATGGTTATATGTCTTACATTTCTATACATTTTCGTAACTTTTGACCTTCTCGCGTAAAATGTAAGTAACTTCTGTAAAAATGGCAATTTTAATAACTTTGAGGACGTAAAGATTTTTTAAATTCAACTATATTTGATATTGTAAGTCCTAAACAGTTTATGAACACACCCAAATTAGACAAAAACGTAACTAGGAGATGGCACAAACAAAATTAAATCAATAAATTACTGGTTATAGCTTGAATGTCATGAGCGTGCTTACTTTTTGTTTTTAGGATTTAGGTGTATATATTAAGAATTTACAGCCACAATTTTTAACTACAAAAACGAACTTGCAAAATGTACTATTGAAACAAAGATGTAACTTTTCTGGTAACGAAATCAAATTTTCGACTCAAGGGCTCTGGCAACACTGACGACATTTCAGACATAATTAATTCGTTGTGATATATAAAGGCCTTTCCGAATCAATTTTTGCATAGACGTTTTCAATTAATACATACACAGTGAAGCGGAGTTGGGTTGAATGGTATACTATAAATACTATCTACGAGAAACAGCCATGTATTAAATTTTTAAAACAAGGAACAAAGCCACAATCGAACGATTACAATTCACTTAATAACTAAACCATAGAAGTTAATTTTTACGTTGACATTTAAACACCAATATCATCATGTGTCAAAACAGCTAGTGCTTGACTACTAAACAAAATCGGTTTTTATTCCGGAAGTCTGTCATACAGACGACAACTTCCTGGGCGGGCCTTTGAAAACTCTATTTCACAATTTTTTTTTCTCAATAACTGCTTGTTGAAAAAACATGACAAAACATAATTTCTACAAGGACAAAGTTTATAAAGGGCTCATTGGAAAAATGTGCTATTGTCAATTGTGGTTGTATCTCAAAAGCATCCGTAAGGTATCTTTACTCTTGGTACATATTTGTTGCAAGACAAGCATAAAAACGACTTAATGGCACTCACCGATTTCCCCAATCGAGTTTGGCGACGAGTTTCAGACGTAAGGCTCGAGTTTGATCCTGCGTCAGTGTACCTGCCAGCAACGCTCGTCTACCGCTCAGCAGTTCTCGCATCACCTTCGCCACTGCGCTGAAACGGTAGGTTTCCCGCTCCTGAAAATCGTTAAAGTCATAGTACAATGGTGACTAAAAAATTGGTACGCTCAGTCAATATCGTATCGTATATATCGTAAATATTGTTTAGGGTCAAGAGCATGTCAAACTTGACAATTAAGATTTAAATTCAACTCTATTCCTCTTAGGATAAAAACGGTCAATGGTCAATCCGATTGTTATAGAAAATTTACATTTACGTAATAATTTGACCTGAATATAAAATTTGCTGCACTAATATAATAGTCCTTTATGGATATTGTTTAATGGATAAAGTGGCTCTGTACTTTAGCTCGAGATAAAGTACATCAAGATTATATTGAATGGATCAGGTGCCCTTAATTTCGTCGCCAATTATTCGACTGTATATTTTTTATATACATCTGTATTCTGTATATTATTTGGCGCCCCAAAAAGTTCATAAAAATAACATTTATGGCGTGTAGTGTAGTACCAACCAAAATCGACTATTAGAGGCGTCCGATGGTCGATTTTGATTGGTACTACACTGACCAATAAGAAACGTTACATACTGACCAATCAGAAGCGAGTATAAATTGGGGGGAAAAGTTGTGGGGCAGAAGAGATGAGTAAAGGAAATGCGGTGGTCAGCCAGTCTAGGTTTTCGCACATTAGAAAGAAGTTGTAAACTGAAACATGTAAATAAGTGTACAACACGAATAGTTTGTATATTATTTTCCATGTTAAGTATTCTCCGGAGACTAAGAATAAATAAGTTTGACTACTACACTAGAGTTTGATAATTTTGATTTTCTTCACATACAACAGTTTACAAAATCTTAACACAATTTGTCTCGTCTGTAAGTCTGTGAAAGTTTTGATATCAAAATGACCATGACCATTTTTACAGTATAACACTTATACTTATTTAAATGCTATTAATGTACTTTTTTTAACTATCCACCGATATTTGCAGAGTCACTAATTACAGGTTGCTTATCACTATATGAGTAATTTTTATTTTTGATCAACCTGTGTCCATGTAGCGTGTAACCGTTCCGAAATATTGGGAAAATAAAGAGAACTCATACCATGGTAAGAAACCTGTAATTAGTGGTAATAATATAGTGAATAACCACGAACGCCTTTTCAGGTAGAGCATAGCTCCGAAATGCGCTCCGCCAGCTATTGCCCTAGTAAAGTATTATAAGTATTTCCTTCAAACGTTTTGTGTAGATTATTTTGTCTCCGTACGCAAGTAAAGTACACAAAGAACGTTTCGAGTTAAATGCACTTTCAAACTTGACATACATTCATTTAGCGCAACGTTCATAAAAAAAATGGCTGATAGTGGTAAAAAAAATGCTTTGTTAATGTTTGTTAGATACTATTATTTATAAAAACACTATTGAAGGGGTATCATTAAAAGTATCTGTTGTCAAATGTTTTTCGTGTATCCAGCAAAGAAGAAATAGTTCATACCACCAAATTCGACAGTATCCGGCAGACTTTCATGAAACTATAAAGTGCGCATGATTATGTAGTTACATAAAAATTCGGTAGATGGCACTGAGCCATTTTTGTTAATTTCTGAATCACAGTGGTTTTTTCCCTTGTAATTTTTATTAAAAAATATTCCTATCCAATTTTGATTTTATAACAAAAAGCCATATTGTGATTTTTAAGTTTATTGAATGTTTGACCACTATGATATTCAATAATTTTATTTTAAATTACTCGGATCGAATGAATTTTTTCTTAGTCTCTTTGCATTAATAATTAAAAAGCCATATTATCTTTATGCTTACAATGACTGAGTCCTTTTGGAAATCAGTTATGGTCGGTAGCTATCTTTTTTATAGTTTGTGTAGCGGACTGTATCAATGGGTGAAGGGATGGGTGCTAACAACGAGTGAGCAAGGCCAAGAGAATGTACTTACAGCTTTTAATAAGTTATTAGAAAAACACCACGTAGCTATCACAGCAAAACAGCAAAAACACTAGCTAAAGTCAAGAAAAAGGCGCCAAAAACACACATTTAAATTTAGAATTTAAATAGAAAACTAAAACTTAAAGAGACTATTATAAAGTATAATAGAAAAAGATTTGTAGCGATTCGCCACAGTTTGCAACTTCGGCAAAAAACAATGGTGAGGATTTTTTGCACTTATCTCTATGGAAATTTTGTTGCAATGATATAGTTCGCCTTGACTACATAAAAACTTGAAATAATTAATAGATTCAGGCGTTACTTTGCGGAAATCCATGTTAATAAAAATGGCCGACCGCCTAACAATCAAAACTCCCGAAGATGCCTCGTAGAGAGGAGAAACCCCTGTCGCGATGTTTCTGATGGTGGTGTTGGTGACTGTAGTTGCGCTTGTGTTATTTTAAACGGCGGTGGAGTGGGGAAAATTAACTGCATGAATATTCAACACAAGCGCAGCAATTTTGGACGATTTAACCTTCACATGATATGTACAGAATAGGGTACTATGGCTGTTTAAACTTTTCACCCTCCTACCTACGATATAATTACGATAATAACATATTAGAAATTAAATGATGGCTTACAAATAACTCTATGAAGTAACTAAAAATACTCTGCCATTTGAACATTAAAACATTTGTAATAAAGGCGAGTATTAGTTGTTACAAATGACATTACGAGTCATTTCAAAAACAGATGCGGAAATAATAACATGCTGCAGAAAAAACATAAAAGTATTGAAACTAATGAGCGGCGTGTGTGACGTAAAATAAACTTCCTGTATTGAGATAAATTGCTACAAAATATACATGATAGTACTCTATACGTTGGACGCTCATTACTCACTCGTAGGTGGTAGGTATAATAAAGCTTTACTATATCTACTGTATACTGTACACTTTGAGAAAGACTAGAAAAACTTACAATCAGAACCGACGATACCGCAACGATAGACAATAAAATTCACCTCATTACTTTTCAATTAAAAATTTTCAAGCATATCCAAACGAGATTTTTTTATAAAAATCATGAGAAGAAATCACCCTTTAATCTTTTGTTTTTCGTTGTCCCGTACGTAATTAGTTAAATTGTTAATCCAACACTGATATAGGTACATTACCTTACGTACGTTGTCTTATCGAGAACTTGGAGTATATTTATTAAATAAATTTCGTTTTTACAGTGAATGACTGATTGTTAGCTCAAAGCAATTTGAGATATATTTAAACAAAATATTTGTGGATTACACAGTGCCACTATGAACAATAATGATTCATAGTGGCAATGCACACTTGTATAAACAAAAAAGTATTAGACAAAAATGTTTGTGAGACACAAAGATATGCACTCCAATGGCATATAATTTCATTGCTTGTATTTAAAACATACTGAACAATACATAATCGGAAATGAAATAAATTTTTTGGATAAAAAATAGCGTATATTTATGTACGTATTTCTTTTTTGAAACAAACTAATGTTGCTGGCACTTTTCAAGTCTTGGTATTTTTGTGGAGAAAATTGAATAAACGTTATTCACTAGTTAGTGATTTTGTTTGAAGTGCCGATATGACGAGCAAGTTGTTGAAATATATAAAAGAATAACACAAGTTTTGATTACAGAATACGATACAGGTACACTCTAGACAGTATTTCAACACACACCCATAATTAAAACTCTAAAAAAAAACTTGCTTATACGAGCAATAAAGTCCTTAAATATGACATTAAGGTCACAGCTGACAGTTTCTTTTAAAAAACAAATATATGCAATTGAAATCCGGAAAAATGTTTCCTTCCCAATGTGTTTTCGCAATCTCGAAAACCTAAAAACTCGAAATGTTACATTGTATTCTTGAAATTCACTGTACTGAATTGTACAATGAATTTCAAGATAATTCACAGACGTTATGCTATGCTTGACATGTTATTGTTTGGACTTAAGAAATAAACCGGTTAAAACAATGGGCAGGTCGTGTAAGTATGAAACTAACCAGATATGTAGGTATGTGTATGACTAAATGGTAACCATATTTTCATGACAATACCTCGGTTTTCCCATTAACTCTCGGTTCAAGAAAACATTAACATTTATATTCTAGCTGGAAAATGGTATATTTTCATGGCGTCTAGTGAAAAATTTTTCCTTCACCGAAAAGCTTTCCTGAACCTGATCGCACAATTGTACAACGATCATTTTTGGGATTTCGACATTGTACACCTTTCAGAAAATTAAGCTCTTGATTATATGTAATTCAGAATTTAGAACACGCCTTCCTGTGTTTTTATGTATTAACTAGTATCTTATATTTTGTGATGTTATAATTAAGTGGCAACATGAACATTATAATAGGAATTCGTGGATGAAATTGTTGGTAGTACATAATTATGTATAAATAGTAATAAGACACTTTGTTACCAGCTTCGTACTGCTGTTTTTTATCCCTAATAAAATAAATAAATAAATTTGTAAAAACTCAAAAAGGCCGGATTCGAACTCATGGCCAGGCGGTGGTGTGGCGTTCTTTGGGGGAGGTTTATGTCCGACAGTGGAGGTCTTTAAAATGATACACGCCTCTTGAATAAAATCAAGGTTGAAGTTTAAAATACGAAGTTAAAAAATTATCCTGAAACAAAAAATATACAAAATTTTGTTATACTGTTTCTTGGTTTGTCACTTGGATGACAAAATTCCAATAAATATAAAAAGAAAGAAAAAAATTTAAGACAAAATTACTTTATTTTACGTACAATAAAAGAAAAAGGTAATACTAATTAATAATAAAACAACCATGTCAAGTGAGTCGTTGGCTTAGCTACAGAAGACTATGGAATACGTAGCCCTTGCTCATATTCTGCCATGACAAACAACCCAACAAAGAGCAACCCTTACCCTGTGTGCAACGCGTGCACGGGCGCTTAGAGTTTCTCATTACTTTTTGACGATTTTACGAATTTATTAACGAACTAAATAAAAGTACAAACCAAGGCTATTAACGAAATAAATTATTCTACATTTTAAATAAACATTTTCTTTTAAAATATGGGCACGCGTGTCGCTTAACACCAAACGTAAAACGTGTTCGTCCAATCACTCGGTATCTGTTCTCGATAGAAAAGTTTAAATTATCTTTTTTACATTCTAATAAGTAATAGTACTTAATAAATAAAAAATTAATAATAATAGTAATTAATTCAACAGCCTGTCATTCCTTTGTTACCTTCACTCAAGAATTTGTTTGGAATGACTCATTACGTTTTCCGTTTGGTTGATATCCGTTTTCTTATCGCATTCAATTAAATGTTTGCTGATAAGTTGATGGTGATTAATATTAGAAACATTTCTCTTCCATTGCATTATTTTGCATTAAATTTATTGCATTAAACTTAACTGTCTTATACAAATGCTTGCCATGCAAAAGACACTTTTAATGCATTGTGTTAAGAGTGTCGTATCAATTTAAGCACTGGAATAAGACGTACTTAAGTTTAGCACAAGTGGATATAAACGAAGGGTAAGTTGGCAGTACTTCCCTGGACGAGCTCTTTCTCAAGGAGCTCTACTGCTACTGAATTTCGTAGAGCATAAACGTGTTTTATAATAATAGCATAAACAACAGCAAACTGGGTTTGATTACTGTAAATTTATTTTAAATAAAAAACGTTGTTTTAAAATGTAGAATAGTTTATGTTTCGTTAATAGTCTTGGTTTGGATCTTTATTTAGTTCGATAACAAATACGTAAAATCATTAAAAAGGTAAGAAATTCAAAGGGTTGCTCTTCGTTGGGTTGTTTGTTATGGCAGATTATGAGCGAGGGTTACGTATTCCATAGACCTCTGTATCTTAGCTTAGCATTTGACATGTTTGTTTTATTATTCACTAGTATTTTATTATACACCTTTTTGTTTTATTGTACGTCAAATAAAGTAACCTTGATTTCAATTTTTTTTTCTTTTTATATTTACTGGTATTTTGTCATCCAAGTGACAAACCAAGAAACAGTATATTTTTTATATTTTATAAAACTTTTGTATATTTTTTGTTTCAGGATAATCTTTTAACTTCGTGTATTTTAGACAACCAGGATCTTCTACAAGAAGCGTGTATCATCGTCATCATTTTAAAGATCGCCACTGTCGGACATAGACCCCCCAAAGATAAACTGCCTCTGTGGCCGACGCAGTGGTCCTGGGTTCGATTCCCGAGCCGGGAGAAATATTAGTATGGCCTACATTTATTTCTTTCGTGAGTTTGGGTGTAATTTGTCGTTGTCCATGTGTGTGTCCATGGCACCTGCGACACAGGGCTTCCCTACTGCGGGGCTATTAAAAAAAAAAGAGATTGCCACAACGACCGGTCTTATGCGGCTTGCATTCAGCGGATTCCTGTAATATTCACCAGGCTATTTGTCAACCTTGTGGGTGGTCTTCCCAAGCTGCATCTTCCGATACGCGGTCGCCACTTAAGAACTCTTTAGTCCCGTCGACTAACTGTTCTGCGAGCATATATAGCAAGCGTCTATACATTTCAATTAATTAATTTTAAGTACGTACCACATACAACTTCTTCCACAACCTCGCCCATTCCCGTAACACACATGCGATCTCTCTAACCAGTGGATCATCCTTCAGTTCGGCTATAGCATTGGCTCCAGTGCCCTTGACAGTGCACGGTCGGATGGAGATTACACTCCCAGGGAAGATGCCCCAGGTTGATCTGTTCTTTGTGCTGAAACCGCGATACCAGCCTGGAAATGCAAAGCGACATATGTTACAAAAACTTTCTTCGTCTGTTTTCATAGCTGGTAGAGCTGAGTCGATTGCGTCCGATCGAATCAAAATGATTCGGACAACACATGTACCCGATGACCCAAATCGCGATTGTAAAAAATTCGGTCATTCTTGTTCGTCACAGCGTGGGTCATACCCGCAAAATTGAAGTTTATGATTATTTTAGAGGTTTTTCAACTATTCACATTACACTCAGTCTGCGACTAACAATAATAGTGTTGTCTCGTTCGGTCTCACGTGAAGTCCCTACCTGTAATTTTACCAGCACCCTTACCCTTCAAAACGGAAACGCAGTAATGCTCGCATTACTACTTGGCAGTAAAAATAGGTAAGGTGGCAAATACTTCCCTGGAAGAACTCTTTCACAAGGAGCTCTACTGCTACCATTGTTACCGTGTCTTTTGAGTTTTACAAGTGTGGATTTTGTCTGTGAGTCTGAAATTCATATTACAATCTTAGTAATCATAATTACCTCCATGCTCCTCCAATATCTGAACTGTCTCGCCAATTTCGAGCGGCAGCCCAGATCGCACGTCCCCCTTCCAATTAAATACGGCTGGAACAAAAATAGCTTTAAAAGTGCTTCTAATTTTAACATGTACAACAATTGCCTTTTCTTAAAATGCCAAGGAAAGGGCACTGGCAGTTCATATAGTTATTTAGACATCTCGTGTCTGCCTCTCCATCTTCCTGCTCTTTTGGAAGCTAACATACAAGTTTAAATTCCCAACAGAACATATTGGTCTTAATTATCGTTTTTCGACATATTTTTATCAGTTTGATCTACTTTATTAGTACCACTAATTACATCAGTATGACATCACTATATTGTCATACTATAGCGCAATATTAATGCAAAAAAAAAATTTAATATCATCCAACCTAACGAATTTCAAAGTGATCGTGAAAACATCGATACTTAATTCTGATATAACAAAATATTTACATAGTGAGACAGTACTTATTATTTTTCTTCTGAATTCAAGTATTTAACCGACTTCAAAAAAGGAGGAGATTCAAATGTATGTTACGTGATAACTCCGGTATTTGTGAACGGTGTTTGTGATTCATGATTCTTTTTTTGTTGGAAAGGGGGTACTTCCATAGTGGTCCCATTTCATTTTGAAGAAAATCATCCATCTCTAAGGGGCCTGTTCACGCGTGAAGATTCATTTTTATAAATAGCGCCTAAATTTTACTAAGGAGAAATTATTTTCATGGTTGATTTTGCTATTACTCCAATTCAAGGCGTTTTTCTCTCCACATACTTTTAGTGAGAACCGATTTTTATTATCTCCTGTGTCAAGCCCTGTATAATGGCGATTTTAAGGATATTTCAATAAAACTTAGCAAATAGACGTAATTCCACGTACTTTTCAGGTCGGTTTTTTTAGTACTCTGTACTGAGATTATTAATGGAGCGAGTCCTTAAATTCCTTCTTTGTAAATGTTTGTAAATGCCTGTTTGTCGACCTGGGTAGCTCAACTTTACGAGAGCACATGTCTCCCGAGACGTGTGGTTGCAGACGACGAAGAAGAAGAATGGTCTTGAACATTCAAAAATCCTGATAGCTGCCTACAGTGCTAAACACTGTAGGAAAGCTCTCATTGGACAGGGATGGCATCAGAATGTTCACTAGTCTCTTTAACAGGGCATTGTGGCTTGAACAAGCACAAATCAAATATTGGGCAGAGAGAAAACAGATATTAGCAGATGTAGATTCTGCCAGGAAGCGGATGAAACTCCTGTGCATCTCCTCACCCAGTGCTACCCTCTAATGGGCGTACGAAGTTCCATACTGGGTAGGCGCCTGGTTAACCTTGGCTCCGAAGTGTAATTAGTGGTGTTAAGTGGTTATGAACAACACAACAGATCAGTTAATGGTCGCAGCGATGAGGGGCCGCATAGTCCCCTGATGAAGCCACCCTAATATTAATAATAGTGCTTATTTATACACTATGGATATTACAAAACTTAAAGGTGTTCGGAGTTTTAGACGATTTATCATATCGACGACAGCTTGCAATATGCACGAAAACCGAAGAGGCCTCGGATTCGATTCCTAATAGGATCAACACGGGAAATCAACTTTTCTAAATCGGTCTGGAGTGTTGTGGTTAAGGTCGAAACATAAAAACTGCGAATCGGCGCGATGCGAATTCGCAACGCAGAAAACTGCGACGCGAATTGCTGCGATGCAATTTCGTACGGCAAGGCATCTCACTGTCACGGTTCGGTAACCATTCCTTCAACGTTCGTCAACCATATTGAACGTATTTTTTAAAGCGACATGGATCGTAAAAAGAGTGTTGCACTGCTGTTATTGATAAGAAAGTATAAGAAAAACACACAGAATATTAATATCGTAGGAATGCGCGCAATTCGCTAATTCTTGCAGTGCGTCGTGCGAGCTCGTAAACTTTTTCGATGCGTCGCATCGCAGTTTTGTGTTTCCACCCTAAGTGCTCCGGAGCGAATTCTATTGCTGTATTACTTATAGTACAGGACATTTCCAGTTTGAGACTAGGTAAATGTTGCGATTTACTGGCATATTATTAATTCCTTCTAACCCTAATCCAAAACAAATAATAAGTGGCGTTAATTTTAATCAAATAGATTAAAAACTGAAATCAATCAAAGTTTATTTTATGAAACTAATTATATGATGTATAATGTGAGAAAAAGAAATGAAGTGGCTGTACTAATTGGAGCACGCAAAGCCTAAGTATCAGAATGAGAAGAAGCTGATATTAATAATGAGTGATTAACCTTTTAATTACACAAAACCTTGGCCACATGAACTTCCTAATTGCACAGACGGCCGTGGGAAATGTTTATAAAATTAACAGTACAACAATGTCTTGTGAATAAACCAGTAATGATATTATATCAGAATGCATAGTAGGTAAATCAATAGGCCAATAACAAACTGTTATCATTAAGTCTTGAGAAATACGCGTGACGAAACTTATGAAACACACTCAAAAGTCTTTGAATATAAAGTATATAGTTTGGCTCGAACCTTCAATGGTCCCTGAGCAATATAATAGTAGTACATAAATTAAAAACAAAACTACCGAGATCTTAGTTTTTCGCGATTGTTAGATACACATAAGAAATGATGAAACTATTTTTAACCGACTTCAAAGAAGGAGGAGGTTCTCAATTCAACTATATATTTGTCCAAAAAGGATGTATGTGATAAAGTGATAACTCACACAATTTGTGAACGTACAAGCGGTTTGTGCATCGATTTTGATAATTTGGTCCCATTTTAATTTCAAGAAAAAATTCCACCTCTAAGGGTGGCAAACTAGAGGATAAATAATGACTCTTGAGGTCAGTTTTTTAGTACTCTGTATTGAGATTACTTCGGATTTCAGTCAGCCGTGACAGTGGAACCTGTAAAGGGTCCGAAATGATGTTTGTTCAAAAAACAAATATATGCGATATAGACCAAAAATGTCAAGCGTTTTGGTTATAGTTGATAGTAGAGATGAGAAAAATTATACAACTATTCGGTATCTGAGCCATTCAGATTCCAGCTGGTAAACATAAACTATGTGATCTATATAAGTATATTTATGATTTTTTTATTATGCCAAGCGACAGAGTAAACAAGGCGAGCGCCTGATGGTAAGCGACACACCTGTCCGTAACTCTTGCGGCAAAGATGTATATACATAGTACATCTGATTCTATACCGAATATTAAAAATTGAGTAAATAAGGAAAAAACAAAACAAATTTTGTTTTATTCATATAAAATTATCAGCAATATTGCTTTATTGTATACAATATTTGTCACATATGAATACTTGGTTTGCCCAGCATTATTAATCTTTGACATAAAAGAAAAAAATCGATTTCAAATATAAGGTAAACAAATTTTGAGACAAAAACCTGTGTAGCATTATTCAATGTTACAACCAGCTGACCTTGTTTTTGAAGCCTATGCTAAACCTGCAAACAATACTGCACAATGACAACAAATTATGCATTCTAGTTTGATGCAACAAAGACTGTCTATTTGGCGGCCTTGGTGACTTAGCACTGTTAACTACTAGTAAACAAATTTTTCGAAATTTCATAGTACAAGATATTCTCTAACATGAGATACGTAATTGTCATTGTCTGGTATATTAATATTAACTGTGAAGCAATATGACTTTAATGTATGAATACTAGAAATGCTGTGGTAGCCTAATGGTTTGACCTACCGCCTCTCAAATAGAGGTCGCGAATTCGAATTCAGACTCGCACTTCTAAGTTTCTCAGAATTTAAGTGCGAAATTTAATTTGAAATTCACCACGAGCTTTTCGGTGAAGGGAAACATCGTGATGAAACCTGCACGCCAAAGAAGGTTTACAACCCTAGGAAAACGTGTGAAGCCCCCAACCGCATTGGGCCAGCGTGGCTGCTGGCTTCAATTCTCAGATGTATAAATGGGTTCATGATGATGAATGAAATAATAACGTTTCCTTTTCTCAAATAGTGATTGCTTTGTCATTGAAAAAGTTGCTACTGGCACCACAATGTAATTACTAGTATCCACATTAAATCAATAAATAGTCTGTGTCAAAAGGCTGCACAGACCCTGCAGGAAGCTACGCTAATAAGAATAACACATATCTTTGAAGAAGGATTGGTTGACTGGATCATTATTGCATAACCGTGTACCTACGTAGAACTTACTTTAAAATGAGTGTAATATTAATTGTAATTAATATTATGATGTTATACAACCAAAGATATTTATTTATTTTTTGGGAAACTACTCCAGTAGTTTGTTATAATTATTAATACTATGCTGGTAGAGGAGTCGCTCTGTTATAGCACATACGCAGATTCGAGTCTTGTCAGATCAAAGGAAGTTTTTCTTTGTGTTCAATCTTTGTATTAATAATTAGTAGACGCAGTTCAAATGTTTAGCTTTGATATATGTGATTTTTATTGTAAAATTAAATGTGATGTAGCTCCATAGTGATCTTATTGTTTATATTTTGAGGGATAAATAGGATAATAGATAAAATATGTACATAATGACTATTATTATTTTGGATACCTATTTGAGAGGGATGTGTTAGTTGTTCCAGCTCCACGCGTGCGAAGTTCTTGAACATTCTGTGATAACACGTTGTCACAGAACGCCCATAGATGCATCCGGTACACCCTGGGGCCAACACTGACAACTCTCGGCTTCAGTCTGAGTCTTGCCAGTGAGGGCGCGAAGCGATCAACACGGCCCGGTCATGCGTCTCTGGGGGTGGACCATGGCAAGTGGTGGGCGGTCTTAATTTACACCCTCCTGCGTTCATGCCTACGCAGTTGAGCGCCGTACGCAGGGATGAAGGAATCCTGGGGGGCTGAGCCCGAGCGGGGTGGGGACCCCGGCAAGCAATACGCCCTCTTTGGCCCTGATTTCATGCTAAACGGTAGCCCTGTGTCTAGCCAACACAGGGAAACGGCAATGTGTCCCGCCAGAGGGCCACCGGCGAGGTGTGGGGGGGACGGACTCGGCCATGCTGACGGGGTGAGTATGTGCGGAGTA